AGGACCCATGCTTTAGAGCATGGCTGAAATAATGACATCACAAAACATAACTTCAAGGGGCAATTACATGAGGGCTTGAGGTTTGGGTTACCTCTCTGTACCACTCTCTGATAGTTACCTTTGGAATTAGATGTGCATCATTCAGCAATGCCATTTTGATATTTCTTGTTATTTAGTCCTTAAGCATAGCATACAGCACCATTGTACAACGTTAAATCCAAAAAAAAAATTGGGACCTGTGAAATAACAGAATGCGATGATTTTCAAGTTTCATAAACCCATATTTTATTTACAATAAGGGGGAAAAAGTAAACTTATCAAATGTTTAAACTGAGAAAATGTAACATTTTAAGAACAAAAAAATAGATAATTATTAAATTGATGGCAGCAGCGCATCTTAAAGTTGGAACATGGCCTTGTGTAACACGGTGTAGTATCCCTTCCTCTTTGTTTAACAACACTCTGTAAATGCCTGGGAACTGAGGAGACCAGATGCTGGAGCTTTTGGAGAGTAATGTAGTTCCATTCTTGCCTGATGAAGGATTCTAACTGCTCAACAGTCCTGGATGGACTTTATTATATTTATAGTTTCAAATACACTGCTCAAAAAAATGAAAGGAACACTTTGAAAACACATCAGATCTCAATGGGGATATCTATACTGATATGGACTGGGTAATGTATTAGGAATGTAAGGATGCCCCATCGTTTGATGGAAATGAAAATTATCAACCTACAGAGAACTGAATTCAAAGACACCCTGAAAATCAAAGTGAAAAAATATGCAGCAGGCTAGTCCATTTTGCTGAAATTTCATTACAGCAACTCAAAATGGTACTTAGTAGTTTGTATGGCCCCCACGTGCTTGTATGCATACCTGACAACATCGGGGCATGCCCCTAATGAGACAGCAGATGGTGCCTTGGGGTATTTCCTTTTAGATCTGGGCCAGGGCATCACTGAGCTCCTGCACAGTCTGAGGTGCAACCTGGCGACGTCTGATGGACTGAAACATGAAATCCCAGAGGTGTTCTATTGGATTTAGGTCAGGCGAGCATGTGAGCCATTCAATGGTATCAATTCCTTCATCCTCCAGGAACTGCCTGCATACTCTCGCCACATGATGTCGGGCATGGTCATGCACCAGGAGGAACCCAGGACCCACTGCACCAGCATAGGGTCTAACAATGGGTCCAAGATTTCACCTCGGTACCTAATGGCAGTCAGGGTGCCATTGTCTAGCCTGTAGAGGTCTGTGCGTCCCTCCATGGATATGCCTCCCCAGACCATCACTGACCCACCAACAAAACGGTCATGCTGAATGATGTTACAGGTAGCATAACGTTCTCCACGGCTTCTCCAGACCCTTTCACGTCTGTCACGTGCTCAGGATGTACCTGCTCTCATCTGAGAAAAGCACGGTGCCAGTGGTGGACCTGCCAATTCTGGTATTCAATGGCAAATGCCAATCGAGGTTCTATGGTGCTGGGCAGTGAGCACAGGGCCCACTAGAGGATATCGGGCCCTCAGTCCACCCTCTTAAAATCTTTTCTGATTGGTCAGACATTCACACCAGTGGCCTGCTGGAGGTCATTTTGTAGGGCTTTAGCAGTGCTCATCCAGTTCCTCCTTGCACAAAGAAGCAGATACCGGTCCTGCTGATGGGTAATGACTTTCTACGGCCCGGTCCAGCTCTAGACTAACTGCCCGTCTCCTGGAATCTCCTCCATGCTCTTGAGGCTATGCTGGGAGACACGGCAAACCTTCTGGCAATGGTACGTATTGATGTGCCATCCTGGAGGAGTTGGACTGCCTGTGCAACCTCTGTAGGGTCCAGGTATCTTCTCATGCTACCTGTAATGACACGGACACTAGGCAAATGCAAATCAAGGGAAAAAACGTCAGTGGCCTCCACCTGTAGAACCATTCGCATGCCTTTCAATGACCGTGGCCTCAGCTTCCATTTTATACTCAAGATCGTTTGTCCGACTGCCCAGCTCTCTAGTCTCTTGTGAGAGATGTTCTGACAGGTTGGAAGTGTAGTGGAGGACAATTTCATCTGCAGCATCAACTTGAAGCTGTCAGGATCTCAGCATCTCTCATGGCCGGTACAGGGGGTTGCAGGGGTGCCTCTGGCTCAGGCTCAGTGCAGTGCAGGGGTGCCTCTGGCTCAGTGCCCATCTCATCGTCGAGATCCAGTGCACCCGTGGGCGGCGGGCCCAAAATCACTATGGTTTTCAGATGCGGTCTCCGGCGGGTAGGCCGCAAATTCTGGTGTGGCCTGCCGAGCGCTGGAGGCACGGCCAGTCCCAGTTTTTTTTTTTTTTTTTTTTTTCCCCCCCATCAAGGCGGTAGGGGAAGTGGCGATCCGGGGTGGGGTTAGTGGGCAGCTGGCTTACCCCCCTGAGAGCCGGCGAATCAGCCAATGTGTTCGGTGGGCAAGGAGCGCGCCTACGGAGCAGCCATCCTGGACATTGCTTATGAGATTGTATACATTTCCGTGGGATATGTACTTTAGCAGCATTAACCACTTGGAGACCGGGCTATAGCTGAATGACGTTGGACACAGCTGATCACATAACATGGTAAAGAGCCAATCACAGCGCCTGTTTACTACGTCATCAACTGTGTCCAATGACACAGCTGATTATAGTGTAAGTACAGTTGCTGGTGATCTGCTGCACTTTACTCACGCTGTCACAGCGTGAGGAGTGCTGGTAATGCAGAAGTGTATTTAAATCATCAGAGGCAGTCCAGTGCAGCCCCCAGCCCAAACGGTGTCCGTCAGTGCAGTCCTAACAGTGTCCACCAGTGCTGCAACTGTCCATCAGTACCTCCTCTGTCCATCAGTGCACACCAGTGAAGGAGAAAAATTATCTGTTTGCAAAATTTTATAACAGAAATTAAGAAAAAAATGTTTTCATATTTTTTTTCTCTTTTCATGTCTTTAGCAAAAAATAAAAAATCCTGTGGTGATTAAATACCACCAAAAGAAAGCTCTATATGTCTCAAAAAATGCTAAAAATGTAATGCGTTTACAGTGTTGCATAACTGCGCAATAGTCGTTCAAAGAAATGAATGCTGAAAAATGGCCTGGACAGGAATGGGGTGAAAGTGCCCATTAGGCAAGTGGTTAAGAAGGTGGATTATGCAGGATCACTTGTATCTACTCCTCATGAGTGGTGTGAATTGAAGTAAGCATGTTCCTAAAGGTGAATTTTGCCTTTAAGACATTTGCACAGGGTGTCTCCAATGTGGCTTCCCCTGTGCGTTCACCCTTTTATTTGTTGAATTTAAATTTGGCTCTTTCAGCACTTCAGAAACCACTTTTTGAACCTATTAGGGTATTTTCCTTTCTATGCTTGCTCATAGGGTTGCATTCCATGTCTTGGAGTTCATTGAGGGTCTTGTTCCAACACTGCTTTGTTACTTAATTGAGGCATGATGAGAATGGTTATTACAGGCTGGTTGGTCGCTTTTTTTGGCTAAATCCTCCTGTAGGCAGCAGTATAACAAAAGTGTCTGACTTGTGTAATGCCAAAAAAGGAATTTTATGGTGAGTACAAAAATCTTATATTGGAAATATATCGTTGAATGAGATGGAGTGACTAAATATTTACCAGTACTAGTAATCTCAAATATGAACAGTATTACTATGCAATAAATTGTTTTGTCACTTTGTGCTTACCAGAGTTAAATCTGACTTCCAAGTATGGATATTTTTGCATAGTTACATTGGCCAAGTATGAAATATGGACCATACACTGTTGAAGCGGAGAATTCACTGCATTTGCGGCAGTTCTGCTGCATAGTAACTCAGCATGAGTGCCATTCAAAGAACTTTATTTTCTAACTGCATTGTTATCTGGATGAGGTGGAAGGGCAGTGAAGTCATGATCCCCACCTTACCCAATTAGGAAATGCAAAATGGAAAAATACAAGGCTTTCTCTGAATGGCACCTGTGCCGAGCGAGCATCCACCTGTGGTTACTATGCAGCAGGGCAGACGCTCCGCATGGGACCTGGAAGGCGCTGAGTATCATTATCGTAGTGGCAGCTACAACAGGGCTTCCATAGGAATCAGCCAAGTAAGGAATATGTATACTTGCATTGGTCCTTGCAGGGCCAATGTAACTATGTAAAAATATCCATAAGTAGAATTCAACTTTAATCATGGTGATGCTATCCTGCATGTCTTTCACATTATAACTATGCAGTAGGAATTTCCTTTAAGTGTTACTAAAGTCGTGGGTTTTTTTTTTGTTTTTGTTTTTTTTTTTTTATTAAAATTACAAACTTGTTATACTCACCTGCTCTGGTCCATGGTATTGCACAGAGTGGCCCTGATCCTCCTTTTCTCGGGGTCCTCCACCAACGATCTTGGCGCCTCCTCTTCTTCTTGTGTCCCCCATAGCAAGCCATTTGCTATGGGGGCACATGGTGTCTGCTTGTTCCTGAGCTGTGTGTCTGTCACTGTTATGTAGCCATACATTTATGTCTACCAAATAATGTATTTTAAATAACAGAGGAACTCCTGCTCCTTCTATACTTCCCAGCTGCTGTGGCTGTAAATGATGCAGGTCTGACTGACCCCAGCACTATTGCATCTCCGCCAGTTATTCCTGAAATGGAGTTTGGTGCCATGGGTTCTGTGAATGGTAAGGAGGCGAAAATGTAACTGTAACACTAAGGTATAAGATGGAACAGGCATGGGACAAGAAGTACGGAGAAAGCTGGGCTTCCCCTGGTATGCAATTGAACTTATTTGCAGGACATAGAAGTATGCCTGCATGACAGCAAGGTCAACCTGAGGATCAAGATTTATGTCTGCTTGTGAAGGTAATTCTGCCTGAAGTTAGACTTTAAAAGTAATGTTCTTTGTCTCCAATTTAATGGCACCTTCTCCAAGGCTATAATGTCAATCTTGTCTTTGCATTTTTTTGGTAGACTACATTAATTTACTGGTTATATTGTACTCTGTTTTCTGCTGTTTCTATTAGGACATTCTGGAATACAAGAAGAAACAACGACCACAGAAAATTAGAATGTTGGATGGAGCAGCAAAAATGATTATGGTAGATGACTCAAAGACTGTAGGGGAACTTCTGGTGACAATATGCAGCAGGATAGGTGAGGATTTTTATTTATCCTTTTTGGGTAAACAGTAGGATTTAGTAGTTAATAAAGTGATGGAGGTTTGAAATCTCTCTCAGGTGTATACTGTTCTGTTAATTTTTCGAAAAATACATTTTGTTTAGATGTCCTAGAAAAACTAGTTAGGGGATTGATATGGATTAGTGTTTGTGTTTACGGACAGATCAAATTAAACATAAGGCTACTGAAATCTCTTGTACCCAGGTATTACAAACTATGAGGAATACTCTCTAATCCGTGAGACTGTTGAAGAGAAGAAAGAAGAACCAACTGGAACTCTAAAGAAGGACAGAACTCTCCTCAGAGATGAGAAGAAAATGGAGAAAAACTGAAAGCTAAGCTCCATACAGAAGATGAGTGTGAGTGAAACACTGGCAAGAGAATGAAGTGAATAGAACATGGTTGCATAGACTGTAGAACCAAAAAAACATGATCAATGTGTTCCAGTAGGAGTCATTTAAAAACATTTAACCCTTCCTACGCACGATCTGTATATTATTGGGGGATGTTCCTGGGGAAATGTAAATAAACGTTCTCCAGTCAGGACCTTGCGCAGTTGTTGATTCTCAACATGGCTTTTATTGACTGCTCCTGTCTGCCTGACAATTTGGAACCAGTCAGAATGGTTCCTGATCATGTGAGCAATGTTTCAGCTATTACATAGCAATCAAATGCAGGCAGAAAGTCTTTTTGACATAATGTGCCTTCAGTCTGCTGATGCCACTGTAGTGTATAGGTGGCATTGTTTACCTGATTATGATTGTAATGGTCAGATTTGTTTATGTTCCTGCGCATTTGTAATCCTATCCTTTAAAATAGAAAATGTGTCTGTTTAAAATTAACGCCTCCTACTGTATGTCCTAATATATGAAAACCTTTTTAAGTGTGTGGATTAATCAAAGTTGTTGCAAAGATAACTGAAGCATGCAAAAGCTGCCAAATTTGGACTGGGCATCAATGACTCCTGGTCACAAGGTGGTTAAACCATTGAAAAGACCATGTGGTCTCATAGTCTAAGCAGAACCAGTAGAGGTTAAAGCTCTGGTTTTTGAACTGGGCATTTTTACCTGATTTCCTGTTGAGAATCATTCTCAAGGAGCAGGGCCCTCCTGTCCCTCTTGTATTGAACTGTATTGTTGCTGTATTGTCTCCCTTTGTATTGTAAAGTGCTGAGCACACTATTGGCGCTATATAAAGCCTGTATAATAATAATAATTGTGTGATTTCACAGTTTTCTGCCAAGTATTGTGTTATTCAGTAATATTTTCTATTTTTCTCCCTTTACTGACATTTTAGTAAATTGGCTGGACCATAGTCGCACATTTCGGGAGCAGGGAGTTGATGAAAATGAAAACATTACTTCTCCGCAGGAAGTTCTTCTATTCAGATCAGAATGTAGATTCCAGGGATCCAGTGCAACTGAACCTACTTTACGTTCAGGTAACCAGCTGCACCAGGAATATATGGTTAGCACAAATGGGTAAAGTGTATGAATGTTTTAGTTTCATAATTTATTTATTTTAGGCCCGTGATGACATTCTGAATGGTTCTCACCCTGTGTCATTTGACAAAGCCTGTGAGTTTGGGGGAATCCAAACACAGATTCAATTTGGACCTCATGTGGAAGTCAAACATAAACCTGGATTTTTAGAGTAAGAATAGGGGGCTATTATTTCATAATACAATGTCTGTAATTTTTCTTAATGAAGCCAAAGTATAAAGACTGTTGTTCCTACCCCACTTCTGAGAGCACCCATTTTGTCAAGTTTGCTTAATTTGGCCCATAACAAACAGCTGGCAAGTGAAGTCAAAGCTGATTTGTTTAGGTGAGAAACTCAAAGAATTGAAGCTAATCTAAATGGCAGTCAGGCCACTACTATGTTCAGAAGGTACAAAGGCAGTCTGCATATTTTATTGGCACCCCTCCTTCAAATCTGCATACAGACTACCTGTTTTTCCTGAACTGAGAACCATTGGCCACATGCAACATCAATTTAAAAACCTTATAAGTGCAAAGGTGTTTATTATGTGCCTTAACTATTAACCACTTCCCGACCGGCCGTTGCATATAAACGGCTGGACAGTGGCAGTGCAGGGTCGGGTGGCCATTTATAAACGGCCTCCCCACACCCTGCTTGTGCGCGCTCCCTGGGAGAGCGTAGCACCGCGATCCGGTGCCCGCTGTGTGCTCCGGACACAGTGAAACACCGATCGTCGGACGGGACCTCTGTACAAGGTCCCGATCATGTGATCACTGATTGGCCAATCAGTAATCACATGCAAAGTAGTAAGCAAGATGTCACTTGTGACATCATTGCTTACTACATGTTAAATCTGTGAATGATCGCAGAGGTCACATGGTACAAGGCTATTCACAACAGCCTTGTACCATGTGACAAGCTGTGACCAATCACAGCTCACTCAGTACTTCTCAATGACTGCAAGAATGCACACAGAGAGAAAGAAATGATTGCTTTTACATCCTATATGGGTATAAAAAGCAATCAGTGTAAAAAAAAAAAAAAAAAAAATCACCCCCCACAAGTAGTACAGTGTCACCATGGTGACACTGTACTGCTAGGATGACAGTATGTAAAAAAAAAAAATATAAAAATGTAAAAATTTTAAAAATTATAATTTTTGGTTATAAGCTAATTTTTTTTTTTTTTTACTAAAAAGATAACGGAATAAATTTTGGCAAAAGTTTTACGATGAAATATTTATTTGCAAAATTTTATTAAAAAAACACTTTTGTTCAAAATTTTTGGACTTTTTCATTTACATAGAAAAAAAATAAAAATCCCAGCGGTGTATAAATACCACCAAAATAAAGCTTTATCTGTCTCAAAAAAATGGTAAATTCATTTGGGTACAGTGTTGCATGACCACGCAATTTTCATTCAAAGTGTGATAGCGCTGAAAGCTAAAAATTGCCCTGGTCAGGAAGGGGGTAAAAGTGTCCGGTCTGGAAGTGGTTAAAATGTGTGCCTTCGATGGAGCCTGACCCTAAAAGTATGTTAAATTATCCTGTCTTTTCTATAGCTGCACATATCCCAAACCCAAAAATATCAGGAATATAAAATGTTGGTAACTTATTAAATTTGCTTTACCTAAATACACTTTGTGTTTGAATTTTGGTTTTTTTTTGTTTTGGTTTTTTTTTTGTAAAAGCTTGGAAGACTTAACAGAGTTTTGTTATGTTTTAGCCTGAAAGAGTTTCTTCCTAAGGAGTATATCAAACAAAGAGGAGCAGAGAAGAAAATATTCCAGGTACTGTAGAAAAATGAATGGATATATTATATTTTGCTAACATTTTGTTTTTGGGGATGATTTAGCCTGAGTTCAAAATATGAGGGGGCTCAAGTTACACTGCATGGCACAAAAAACATGCAGGCACCTTTTTTTGAGCTGTGCTGGTAGTGGATCGCATAGTTGTTTTTTCCTATGCGATCTGGTGCAGACAAACACACTGCATTTTCGACCTGCATTTGTAGTGCTGTTAACTTTAAATTAACAACCGCAGCAGATTGCAAAACAGTGCAATTGCAGTGCGGTGCAGGAAACACACAGGGATCGCTGCATTTCCCTCACAGTGCATGAACTGGGCTTAAAGAAACTGATTCTAACTGAAATCAAAATAGGCCACTAAAAGGTGTTTTTTTTTTTTTTTTTCTTACCTAATAAATATGACTGAATCTGGCTAATAACTATAGGAAATAGGTCTAGTTTTAATGATAGCACCCCAGGGATATATTAATTATGTTTATCATGTGCCTAAATCCATCCCTGCTAAAGAGTTGCTGCAGATCTGCACTTATTGAGATTTCAGAAAAACTTGGTATATATGTCTAACCCTGCTCTTCTACACCTACCCAAACATATTGTTTTTATCATGCCTGCATTTTTTTTTTTTAATTTCTTTACCACCTTAACCCTAGAGACCTGGTGTTTGTCAAGTATGCTAGTACTGTGCTCAAAATGTCTTTGTGAATGGATTGTATTACTGCATTGCATTTTTTTTTTGTAATGTACAATTGTTGTGACCAACAGGAACATAAAAATTGTGGAGAAATGACTGAAATTGAGGCTAAAGTGAAGTATGTTAAAGCTGGCTCGATCTTTACGGACATATGGAGTGTCTTTTTTTCTAGTGAAGGTATTGTTAATTACTCTTGGTCTCATACTGTATGTAGTAAACTTCAATAAGCACCATTTCTATCCAAAATTAAACATAACTTTTTTATGCATTTAGAAAAAGTGAAAGGTTGCTTTGTGTGCTATCTCCATGCTTCTAAGGCAGGCCATAGAAATGCGGCCGATAAACGAAAAAAAATCAGTCAGCCCCGTTGCCGATGCTGCCACCAATGTCCACGAAAAATGGCTGTTTTTCATGGATTTTCCAGCATGACCAATTAAAAATAAATGTGAAGATCCACGACAAACGGCCGACGGGCTGGCCCCACTAACGGCGTGAATATCGGCCGGTTTTTTCTTTGCGCTATTCGTGCGGCGTGAAAATTCGGCTGCTAAACGACCCGTCTATGGCCTGCATAACTGGCACTTTGTGGATTAAAGTGTATGTCAATAGCCTCTTGTTTTGACCCTGTTAATGAAGACTCATGAGTAGGCCGTGTGCTTTTAGCTTCAGGATGAGGAAGAGTCGTAGACACCATGTTGGTGCAGGGAACTTGGATGGCAGAGGAATCCTATTCAGTGATTAGCATTCTGGAGGGACAGGTGATTTGCTTGTCTACAGTGCTAGACATTCCGAGTGCAGGGCCATCTGATCAGGCATTAGTTGGACAATGCCACAGCATACATCAACCATCAGGGAGGATCCAGATGTCTTTGTGGCAAGAATGGCTGAGAGACCTCCAGTCTTGTCCACTGTTTTTCTCCTAGATGTGGATAATTGGCAGATACCTTCCTCATACGGCATATCCCCCTTTTCACACTAACTCACAAGGTTGCTTTCTATGTCACCATCAACTCTGTGGTGCCTGTACCAGAACCGATGGCCTTGTCTTCTGAAGGACTCTTGTGGGTTTTGCTGGGTTACCTTTAGACAGGGTAGTTTTGAGGCCTGAAAGCGCTTTCCTTCCTGAGGTGGATTCAGTCTTTCACCTCAACTAGGATATTGTACTTCCCGTCTTTCTGTCTGGCCCCAGTACATTATAAGGATTTCTCTTCATTTTCTAAATGTAGTTTGTGCTGTTCAGGTCTACCCTGCAGCCATATCTGGAAAAACTTACTCATTCTTTTTCTTCTTCTAGATGGTCCCCACAAAAGGATGTCTCAGGTC